CATTCCCAGCCCATATTTCAGGCAGTTTAAAGCCATGCTTAGTTGTTCAGCTTCTGAAGTAGAGTTTTTCTTCTGATCCCAGTAGCAATGGCCCCTTTATGTAGAGAGGTAGGGAGCGGACAAGCAGTTACAAGGGTCTGTAGGCCAACGTTGGACTGAAGGAGTAGGAGATTAATTTATTAATACTTGCCCTTTTAAACTCAGCAACAGAACTTTTAAACAAACACATTAGTCTCCTTTGAAGCTGCAGTCTGTTAAACTATTAAATGAATTATTCATGAACAACCAGAGGTAAGCTGCCTTGGGAGCAGCAGTTCATGTTCTCTTCTGCTCCCCCCCCCAACTCAAAACAGGCAAGTCTGGGAGACCAGCCTCAGCTGAGGAAGTTGGACAGTCCTTTCCCTTTACAGCATCCAGCTCCCTTTCTTCTCATCCGGCATTCCTGTCTGAGGGGACAATTCAGTCCTCTAGCAAGGAAATGAGCAGTTTCAAGCTCAGGCCTCTTTGAAGGGCTGGGAGAGTTTCGCAGGCCGAGCAGGAAAGTCCAGCAGCACTTACTTTGCCTTTTGCATTCTCCCTGTCCCCTGCTTGAGTTCGCTGCGGAGCTGGAAGGCCAGGCCAGGCCAGGCCAGGCCAGGCCAGGCCAGGCCAGGCAATCACCTCCACGGGAAGGCTAAAACTCATTTTACGGAGAGTGGCTGTAATAACCAAATCTTGTGAGTCAGACTGTGCTCTACTTCCTCCCCCTTCTTCTACGCCAGTGAACTGGAGAGGCATCTGCCTGAGCTGCTTCCAAACGCCATCTCATTGTTCTGGATCTGAAAAATGTTCCAGCTCCTCTTGCCTAGGGGACAGTTCCTGCCTATCTCAGTCAAGTTCATCTTCCTGACTCTCTGCGTCCTTCCTTCTTCCAACCCAAAAGCCCCTCAAACTCCTCAGGCCCTGAGTCTGAAAGGAGGCTACTGTTTTCCCTTCACCACAGAGCAGAGGCATCAGCCGTGACAGTCACTGCCTTCAAAATGGTGGGTGTGGCCACCCCTTTTTGCTGAGGGCAATCAGCATGAAAAAGAGGCAGGGCTTCAATAGCTGGGTTGCCCTTGCCAACTGGAAGCCAGTGACCATTGCTGTGGATGACCCTGACACATTCTCATCACCATTTTTGCCGTGGATACAATCTGGAACACTTTATTTGGTTGCTGATGCCATTATTAGAATCTGCCCAGCTTCTATTGGCCATTTTAGATGCTTGAGGGGTGCCTTCTCCCCTCAGTTGGTTTGCACTGCCTTTCATGGCCATTTCTGCCATGAAAATGACAAAATGAAAACTGGACTCCTGGCTTCCCGAGGCATCTGCCAACATAATGCGTGACTGCACTTTCCATAACACTTGTCAGGTCTTATATAGGCTCCTTATTTAGCAGTTTTGAAAGAGCGCTAGTCCTGTGCTGTACAGACCAGTGCAAAGTTTTGCCAGTTTTGCATTGCTAGTTCTGTCACCACTGGGCGCGTTACATGGTTTCTGCTGCTTCTGCTAACAGGGGAGTTAATGAGCCTGTTTACAGTTTTCCTCATTTCTACTATCTATGAAGACTCACGCGACTGGACAATTGTCACCTGTCCTGGCAACACGCCAGGGACTAGAGACAGGAGTGCCTACTGCTATTTGTACAATGCACCATGATTAAGTCCTCTGAAAGGAGGGAGGGACATTTTATCATTTCAATTTTAGTGGCACAAGATGCCATGGTGATTATTGTTATTATGCACAGGCCAGTCATAATGGTGTGATTACACTCTGGAACCTGTGTTCTTCACGGCCATTCCCTGATTATTTCCACCACAAAGTCAGAACTGCACTTTGTCATTTCTGAGAGCACTGTCATTCCTTTGCAACACTAGCCAAAGACAGAACTGGCTCTTTGATTGCTCTCTTCAGCTTCACACACATCATCTATTATCTGTCACCCAAACGATCTTTAGCACACTTTCCAAAGAACACCATACCCGTGTTCAGAAATAGCCCAGCAGGTAAGAGACACAGAAAGGTTGTGGCAAGTAGAAGCATCTCAGAGATGTCAGAAAACGACAGACACGGGTTCGGTTGTCCAGTAGACAGAAGTTTTTATTGGGCACGTTT